ACCCTCTCTCTGTGTGCCACACCCTCTCTCTGTGTGCCACAGCCTCTCTCTGTGTGCCACACCCTCTCTCTGTGTGCCACACCCTTTCTCTGTGTGCCACACCCTCTCTTTGTGTACCGCACCCTCTCTCTGTGGGCCACACCCTCTCTCTGTGTGCCACACCCTCTCTCTGTGTGCCACACCCTCTCTCTGTGTACCGCAGCCTCTCTCTGTGTGCCACAGCCTCTCTCTGTGTGCCACAGCCTCTCTCTGTGTGCCACAGCCTCTCTCTCTGTGCCACACCCTCTCTCTGTGTGCCACACCCTCTCTCTGTGTACCGCACCCTCTCTCTGTGTGCCACACCCTCTCTCTGTGTACCGCACCCTCTCTCTGTGTGCCACACCCTCTCTCTGTGTGTCACACCCTCTCTCTGTGTACCGCACCCTCTCTCTGTGTGCCACACCCTCTCTCTGTGGGCCACACCCTCTCTCTGTGTGCCGCACCCTCTCTCTGTGTGCCACAGCCTCTCTCTGTGTGCCACAGCCTCTCTCTGTGTGCCACACCCTCTCTCTGTGTGACACACCCTCTCTCTGTGTGCCACACCCTCTGTCTGTGTACCGCACCCTCTATCTGTGTACCGCACCCTCTCTCTGTCTGCCACACCCTCTCTCTGTGTACCGCACCCTCTCTCTGTCTGCCACACCCTCTCTCTGTGTGCCACACCCTGTGTGCCACACCCTCTCTCTGTGGGCCACACCCTCTCTCTGTGGGCCACACCCTCTCTCTGTGTGCCACACCCTCTCTCTGTGTACCGCACCCTCTCTCTGTGTGCCACACCCTCTCTCTGTGTGCCACACCCTCTCTCTGTGTGCCACACCCTCTCTCTGTGTGCCACACCCTCTCTCTGTGTACCGCACCCTCTCTCTGTGTGCCACAGCCTCTCTCTGTGTGCCACACCCTCTCTCTGTGTGCCACACCCTCTCTCTGTGTGCCACACCCTCTCTCTGTGTGCCACACCCTCTCTCTGTGTACCGCACCCTCTCTCTGTGTGCCACACCCTTTCTCTGTGGGCCACACCCTCTCTCTGTGTGCCGCACCCTCTCTCTGTGTGCCACAGCCTTTCTCTGTGTGCCACAGCCTCTCTCTGTGTGCCACACCCTCTCTCTGTGTGCCACACCCTCTCTCTCTGTGCCACACCCTCTGTCTGTGTACTGCACCCTCTATCTGTGTGCCACACCCTCTCTCTGTCTGCCACACCCTCTCTCTGTGTGCCACACCCTGTGTGCCACACCCTCTCTCTGTGGGCCACACCCTCTCTCTGTGTGCCACACCCTCTCTCTGTGTGCCACACCCTCTCTCTGTGTACCGCACCCTCTCTCTGTGTGCCACACCCTCTCGCTGTGTGCCACACCCTCTCTCTGTGTGCCACAGCCTCTCGCTGTGTGCCACACCCTCTCTCTGTGTACCGCACCCTCTCTCTGTGTGCCACACCCTCTCTCTGTGTGCCACACCCTCTCTCTGTGTGCCACAGCCTCTCTCTGTGTGCCACACCCTCTCTCTGTGTGCCACACCCTTTCTCTGTGTGCCACACCCTCTCTTTGTGTACCGCACCCTCTCTCTGTGGGCCACACCCTCTCTCTGTGTGCCACACCCTCTCTCTGTGTGCCACACGCTCTCTCTGTGTACCGCAGCCTCTCTCTGTGTGCCACAGCCTCTCTCTGTGTGCCACAGCCTCTCTCTGTGTGCCACAGCCTCTCTCTCTGTGCCACACCCTCTCTCTGTATGCCACACCCTCTCTCTGTGTGCCACACCCTCTCTCTGTGTGCCACACCCTCTCTCTGTGTACCGCACCCTCTCTCTGTGTGCCACACCCTCTCTCTGTATGCCACACCCTCTCTCTGTGTGCCACACCCTCTCTCTGTGTGCCACACCCTCTCTCTGTGTGCCACACCCTCTCTCTGTGTGCCACACCCTCTCTCTGTGTACCGCACCCTCTCTCTGTGTGCCACAGCCTCTCTCTGTGTGCCACACCCTCTCTCTGTGTGCCACACCCTCTCTCTGTGTGCCACACCCTCTCTCTGTGTGCCACACCCTCTCTCTGTGTACCGCACCCTCTCTCTGTGTGCCACACCCTCTCTCTGTGGGCCACACCCTCTCTCTGTGTGCCGCACCCTCTCTCTGTGTGCCACAGCCTCTCTCTGTGTGCCACAGCCTCTCTCTGTGTGCCACACCCTCTCTCTGTGTGCCACACCCTCTCTCTCTGTGCCACACCCTCTGTCTGTGTACCGCACCCTCTATCTGTGTGCCACACCCTCTCTCTGTCTGCCACACCCTCTCTCTGTGTGCCACACCCTGTGTGCCACACCCTCTCTCTGTGGGCCACACCCTCTCTCTGTGTGCCACACCCTCTCTCTGTGTGCCACACCCTCTCTCTGTGTACCGCACCCTCTCTCTGTGTGCCACACCCTCTCTCTGTGTGCCACACCCTCTCTCTGTGTGCCACACCCTCTCTCTGTGTACCGCACCCTCTCTCTGTGTGCCACAGCCTCTCTGTGTGTGCCACACCCTCTCTCTGTGTGCCACACCCTCTCTCTGTGTGCCACACCCTCTCTCTGTGTACCGCACCCTCTCTCTGTGTGCCACACCCTCTCTCTGTGTGCCACACCCTCTCTCTGTGTGCCACACCCTGTGTGCCACACGCTCTCTCTGTGGGCCACACCCTCTCTCTGTGTGCCACACCCTCTCTCTGTGTGCCACACCCTCTCTCTGAGTACCGCACCCTCTCTCTGTCTGCCACACCCTCTCTCTGTGTGCCACACCCTCTCTCTGTGTGCCACAGCCTCTCTCTGTGTGCCACAGCCTCTCTCTGTGTGCCACACCCTCTCTCTGTGTACTGCACCCTCTCTCTGTGTGCCACAGCCTCTCTCTGTGTGCCACACCCTCTCTCTGTGTGCCACAGCCTCTCTCTGTGTGCCACAGCCTCTCTCTGTGTGCCGCAGCGCCTCTCTGTGTGCCACACCCTCTCTCTGTGTACCACAGCGTCTCTCTGTGTGCCACACCCTCTCTCTGTGTGCCACACCCTCTCTCTGTGTGCCACACCCTCTCTCTGTGTGCCACACCCTGTGTGCCACACCCTCTCTCTGTGGGCCACACTCTCTCTCTCTGTGCCACACCCACTCTCTGTGTACCGCACCCTCTCTCTGTGTGCCACACCCTCTCTCTGTGTACCGCACCCTCTCTCTGTGTGCCACACCCTCTCTCTGTGTGCCACACCCTCTCTCTGTGTGCCACACCCTGTGTGCCACACCCTGTGTGCCACACCCTCTCTCTGTGTGCCACACCCTCTCTCTGTGTGCCACAGCCTCTCTCTGTGTGCCACACCCTCTCTCTGTGTACCGCATTCTCTCTCTGTGTGCCACACCCTCTCTCTGTGTGCCACACCCTCTCTCTGTGTACCGCACCCTTTCTCTGTGTGCCACACCCTCTCTCTGTGTGCCACACCCTGTGTGCCACACCCTCTCTCTGTGTGCCACACCCTCTCTCTGTGTGCCACACCCTCTCTCTGTGTACCGCACCCTCTCTCTGTGTGCCACACCCTCTCTCTGTGTGCCACAGCCTCTCTCTGTGTGCCACAGCCTCTCTCTGTGTGCCACACCCTCTCTCTGTGTGCCACAGCCTCTCTCTGTGTGCCACACCCTCTCTCTGTGTACCGCACCCTCTCTCTGTGTACCGCACCCTCTCTCTGTGTGCCACACCCTCTCTCTGTGTGCCACAGCCTCTCTCTGTGTGCCACACCCTCTCTCTGTGTACCGCACACTCTCTCTGTGTGCCACAGCCTCTCTCTGTGTGCCACAGCCTCTCGCTGTGTCCCACAGCCTCTCTCTGTGTGCCACACCCTCTCTCTGTGTACCGCACCCTCTCTCTGTGTGCCACACCCTCTCTCTGTGTGCCACACCCTCTCTCTGTGTGCCACAGCCCCTCTCTGTGTGCCACAGCCTCTCTCTGTGTGCCGCACCCTCTCTCTGTGTGCCACACCCTCTCTCTGTGTGCCACACCCTGTGTGCCACACCCTCTCTCTGTGGGCCACAGCCTCTCTCTGTGTCCCACAGCCTCTCTCTGTGTGCCACACCCTCTCTCTGTGTACCGCACCCTCTCTCTGTGTGCCACACCCTCTCTCTGTGTGCCACACCCTCTCTCTGTGTACCGCACCCTCTCTCTGTGTGCCACACCCTCTCTCTGTGGGCCACACCCTCTCTCTGTGTGCCGCACCCTCTCTCTGTGTGCCACACCCTCTCTCTGTGTACCGCACCCTCTCTCTGTGTGCCACACCCTCTCTCTGTGTGCCACACCCTCTCTCTGTGTGCCACAGCCTCTCTCTGTGTGCCACACCCTCTCTCTGTGTGCCACTGCCTCTCTCTGTGTGCCACACCCTCTCTCTGTGTACCGCACCCTCTCTCTGTGTACCGCACCCTCTCTCTGTGTGCCACACCCTCTCTCTGTGTGCCACAGCCTCTCTCTGTGTGCCACACCCTCTCTCTGTGTACCGCACGCTCTCTCTGTGTGCCACAGCCTCTCTCTGTGTGCCACAGCCTCTCTCTGTGTGCCACACCCTCTCTCTGTGTGCCACACCCTGTGTGCCACACCCTCTCTCTTTGGGCCACACCCTCTCTCTGTGTGCCACACCCTCTCTCTGTGTGCCACACCTTCTCTCTGTGTGCCACACCCTCTCTCTGTGTACCGCACCCTCTCTCTGTGTGCCACACCCTCTCTCTGTGTGCCACACCCTCTCTCTGTGTGCCACACCCTGTGTGCCACACCCTCTCTCTGTGGGCCACACCCTCTCTCTGTGTGCCACACCCTGTGAGCTTCACCCTCAGTGTACCTTTCCGATGGTGTGTATGGAGTGCCTGTGAGCAGATGTTATAAGTCCAGTTTTGAGACGCCTCAAAACTAGTCTCTTCTATGATCTTCACCCTCAGTGTACCTTTTTCCTATGGCGTGTGTGGAATGGCTGTGAGCAGGTGTTGGACCTGTACGGCATCGTAGCTGACAATGACGGATACCGCATCGTCAGAGCCAAGAATGAAAGGTGAGCCACGAACAGGTGAGCCTCCCGCTCACCCCGCCTGTGAAGGGCGATAGAGTGCCGCAGAGTCCCGCCACCCCTGTAGAGAGCCTCCCCCTCTTCCCCTGTACTCCTCACCCCAGGCCGCACAACAGGCAGGCCTTGGGGGATCGCCTGCTAAAGCCTCAGTCTCTTCTCATGCTCTCCCATGCTCCTCTCCTCATTCCTCTCCACATGCTGCTCCCTTACCCTCCTGCCCCTCCGTGTGCCTTACCCTCCTGCCCCTCCGTGTGCCTTACCCTCCTGCCCCTCCGTGTGCCATGCGGCACAACAGAGAGAGCTTTGAGGATCGCCTGTTGAAGCTCGTTGCGTCTGAGACCAGCGTTGCCAAGAGGTGCTTCTTTATCCAGGTAGGGGGATGGCTAAAATTCGAAGAGGTGCCTCTTTATCAAGGTAGGGGAATTGCTAAAATGTAAAGAGGAGCTTCTGGGGGATCGTTTCATTACCGCTCAAATATCAGAAGTGCGCCTCTTCCTATCCTTGCATGTTGGCATTAGATAAAAAGCATCATCTTCCTTGTGTTTTTTGCACACCTGTCACCCTGCATGCCATGCACATGCCGCGCTGCATGCCATGCACCTGCCTTGCTGCATGCCATGCACATGCCCGGCATGCCCGTCAGACCATGGTGGATCCGCGCCACAAGTATCATCTCATCGTCCACCTCTTCGCTCGCCACGGCCCTCATGTGAGCCCTGCAGCTGTCAGGTGCAGCATCAGGTGCAGCGTCAGGTACAGCGTCAGGTACAGCGTCAGGTACAACGTCAGGTGCAGCATCAGGTGCAGCCTCATCAGTTTTTTCTTGCCTCGACCCTCATGTGAGCCCTTCAGGTGTAACGCCAGGTGCAACCTCGCCATGAATGTAACTTCATTAGGTGTGACCTCCCTCTGGGTTACCTTCTTTTCCTCTCAGCTGTAAGCCTCCTACGCGCACAAGGCCTACACCCTCTCTCCCCTTCCAGAAATTCATACCTATGGCTCATTCCATGACCTCTCATTCCATGACCTCTCATTCCATGACCTCTCATTCCATGACCTCTCATTCCATGACCTCTCCCCTCCCATGCACTAATCCATGAGTTCACAACACTTTCCCACTGCATTTTTTTCCCGGTTCCTTCCACAAGCAGAAGCTGAGGGCAGCACTGGCAAAGGACCCCATGGGAGTGGGGGTGGGCAACACGAGCCTGCCAGTTCTCCTGCAGCATCTGGGCTGCAGCAACCTGCCTCAGCTCAGGAAGGGCTCAGGAATCAAACGCGACCTGCTGGCCGTGCTGCTGTGCCACGCCACTCAGGTTTGTCGCTCCTCAAGTCTCTATTTCGCATACAAGCATACTCTCGAACATCCGTATGGTCTTGTGTCCATACCACACCACATATTCATGTGTGCTCACACCTCTTGCTCAGTTACCAAATGTGTTTTTACATTTTCCTCTCCACACTGGTATGCTTTGCTGCTTTCCAGGCTTACTTTGACTTCAATCCGTCTGCGATATTAGAGTCCCTGGTAGCACAGAAGCCACCTGCAACAGGCAAGAGATCGAGCAGGAAGAAGGCGGCTCAAGGAGGTCCAGAGGAGGCAGCACCAACACCATCAACACCACCAACACCACAACCAGTGGTGCTGTGTGACATGATAGCAGATGCAGCGAAGGCCTGCGCTTCCTCGTAAGCTACCCTTCCACCTCTCCCTCTGCTTCTCTATTGAGTGTCTACCGTACCGTGCATTCTCAGATGGCTTTTGCACTAACTTGACTGACTCTGATTATTCCTTTCTGGCAGAGGTGCATTGTCAAGTTTAAGGCGGAGCTGCCTCACTGCCCTAGATGCATTCAGCAGGAGCTTACAATAACAGCTGTACAAGTTCTATGGTATCTGTTGGGCTGAGAATAACCCTTTAGGATCTTTTGCAGAGACCAAGTCCCAGCTGTAGAGACTTGAGACTTGGAGTAGTGCAGCGGAAGTTGAGGCAGTTGAACCCTTGTACTAGTATGTGAGAACAAGTGATTGATTAAAGAAACAAGCATACAGCAATATATAGTAGATAAGAAAGCAGTTGTAGAATACAGTTACAGGAACGGTTTATCGAGTCGCACAGCGACTCGATTGCCGCTTCGGTTACCATCCGTGATGTTGTAACGGTCAGTCGCAACCTCCAGTTGCGACCTTTCGAGTCCTTTCGCATTCTTTGTCCGCCCCCTCGTGTAACCTCCGTTGACTCGCGTGCTCCCCTGTAATCTTCCTCGAGTACAGTGTTACACTTCAGAAACGCTTAAGTCCTTGAGATATTTCCAACAGTATCTACCATTCATGATTTATACAGTTGACATCAGAATATGATGATTGGCACATACTGGTCTACAACTTCTCTTTTTTCCCATTGGGGGAATGACAACCAAGCAATGGGAGGGCCTGTCCAGCGCACATGTCAGCATTCACATGATGACGCCTTGGTGGCCCGTGCAGCATTTACATCAATCGTGTCCGGCAAGTAGCTGTGACACGCCAAAGCCCAGAAGAAACATCAACACGTAAGATCACAAGTTGGTCAAAAGGGGGAAAAGAGAAAGCCAAGGAGAACGAATAGTATGACCTCCCAGGAGCACAAGCTGATATTGTACAAGTTGGGGCGGCTCACAAATAAGCCCAGCAAAGAGCAACAGGCAGTGACTCACAAGTCCTCCTCGGTTTCGTTCTTGAGCGCGTTTCTGGCAATGCACTGGAAGGCCGCCTCCACGTTGTAGTCCTCCTTGGCGGACGTCTCAAAGTACGGGATGTTGCCCTTGGCCGCACACCACGCCTTCACCTTCTTCTCTGACACCTGCACGTCGCAACAGACACGAGGTAAACGACACACGAGGCATTACGAGACACGAGGCGAACGACACACGAGGCGCATTACGAGGCACGAGGTGAACGCGGCCATATGGGGCATCACGAAGCAACACAAGGACCATGAGGACGCAGCAACACAGCAGGGGAGACTCCTCAGGTGCGAAAAGCAGTATTGTACACGCATGCCAATGCTTACAACTCGGCTGTTGCCACCGTCGACGTCGATCTTGTTTCCGAGCACCACAAATGGGAACAGGTCTCGCTCTGCTGGGTTGGCCTGGCGACATAGAGCAGACAAGAAACGCACAAGGCTCGCGTTAGCTCTACGGCGTTCGTGATGCCTACGTAATGTCCCGATCGTAACCTGATCTCCTGTCATCCCTCGCGTGCGTTTCAGCGTACGTACCTGAATAGAAAACTCGTCCCAATACGCACCTGTATCAAGAACTCCTCCCGCCAGTTATCCAGGTTCTCAAACGACTTCATGACATTGACGTCGTACACTAGAACGCAGCAGTCCGCACCCCTGTAGAAGGCAACTCCGAGGCTCTGAAACCGCTCCTGGCCAGCCGTATCCCAGATCTGGATCAAAACGAGAAGGCGAAATGGTCGCAAGATGAGGAACAACTTCCCGGATCGCGAAGCGTCACTAACGCTAGGCGACGACATCTGACGGCAAAAAGAAAAGAATGAAAGGAAATAAGCATTGCGGGACAGGTTGGAACATGTACCTGCATGGTTACAAGCTTGTCGTCTACTTGGACCTCCTTGGTTAGAAAATCGGCACCAATGGTAGCTTTATATTGTGCACTGAACTTCTTATTCACGTATCTACAGAGAGCAACGAAGTTGATAGTCAGACGAAGAGCCGGCTCCCAGGAAAATAACTGAACGAAAGAGCTGTGGGATTGGATCTGAAGAAAGCCACTGACTGCTTACTGGTTCATGAGCGACGTCTTGCCGACGCTGAGCGAATTTAAGAGAAGAGAGAAAAACCACGAGGAGGAGTTAGAAAGGTGCACGGACGCGAAGCTAGCAGAACACGCGGAAATATGCAGCCTACGCACCCGCTGTCGCCAAGAATGATGACCTTCAGCAAAGTACGCCTCCTGGCAGACATTCTGGCACGTTCTACGGCAAAACTTTTAGAATATAAAAGCTTCTGGTCAAGACGCAACGTATGGCACAGTACCGGCGCTAGAAACTAACTGGGTAAGGAGGTCGTGAAATCTAGGATAGTAGACAGATGTGTGAGCGGAAAGACTAGTGAGCTTGCTGATAGCAGGCCTACGATGGCGGATTGTGAAACCAACTTAGATGATAACTGTGACAGATGCTCCGAACATAACAGTAAAGGCGGGAAGATTGCTGGAAACATGACTTCGATATAACAACATGCTACAATCGAGAAAAACAGGAAGAAAGTTCGACTTGCTTCTTCCAGCCAGTGAGAACATATGTATACGTGCAGGTAGTATGATTTTGGTGTAGATCATTGTGCCTTGTAGCGCAGATGTCCAACCATTGGGCGGCAGCTACTTTCCCCTGCCCAAATTCACTGATAGTGCTGCTGACCTGTGTCGGTCAGCCGCCAATCGCGTCGCTGCGACGCGGACCCGAAGTGTGCGACGCGCTGGCCCGCATGTGGTAACCAGCGCGACAGATCAATGTCAGCGCCAGTGTCGTGCCGTGCGAAGCGCGTCAATCGTCACGGCGGAGCGCATCTGAAATTCGTGAGATGTGGGGTGGGGGGAGGGAGAGGCACTGTGAGTGAGTGTTTCTCGGGGCCTTGAATGAATCATGAAACATGAATCATGAATCCCCGGGCCCCACCCAACAGCGACCATGAAATGAATCCTCTCCGTGCGTTTACACCACCACCACCATTGCACCGCCATGACTACTCACCCGTGACACAGCCTTCACTCCGCTCGCCTGGACCTTCCCGCCTGCACTACTTTCCTCTCCTCCCGCAGGAAATTTTCCTGCGTCTCTGACGGATTATCTCACGTCAAGTTGTGACATGACATTCAGCGGCGGCCGCTGAGCTTCTGTGCATACTTGAATGCTCGAGACTTCAGCAAAAAGCAAAGGTTATTCTAACATTCAGCTAAGGTGGGAGGGAGAGTGAGGGCCTCTGGCGCTTTTCCAGCAGCACAAGCACGATCCGGATAACCTCTCTCCGAAAGCCTTTTCAAGAAGCAGGTTGTGTAGAGATCGATCATTATCCATTAGATCTTAACTACTTGATAGACCTACCGTCACCTAGTAGACTAAACTCTAAGATAGTGCACCATCTTTCCGAGCCGCCATGGCGGCCAGGACAATCCCCACAGCTAGACATGCCTCCCTCACCCTCCTCCTCCTCGTCGCTTCCTCCGCTCTTCCGCTCCGCGCCTCCGCGAGCCAGCTGGGCGACGGCTATTGGTTCGCGGTGGGGAATCAGATCCTGGACGAGGCGGGCCGCGTCGTGAAATTCTCGGGCGTCAACTGGAACGGCTTCGACGCCGCGAATTGCGTCGCGGACGGGCTATGGGCGCGGGGGCTCGGCGAATACCTCGACCAGATGGCGTCGCTCGGGTTCAATCTCATTCGCCTGAATTTCGCCACGTCGTGCATTTCGCCGTCCATTCGCCCGTCCGACGGATCGATTGATTACAGCAAGAATCCGGATCTCGAGGGGCTGACGACGCTCGAGGTGATGGACGCGGTGATCGCGGGCGCGAAGCAGCGCGGCATACGCGTTATACTCAGCAACTCTCGCGTGAGCCCCGCGCTTCCGCCCGACTACCCCGCGGACGCGGGGCTCTGGTTCGACCTTGGGAACCCGGAGCGCGTGTGGCTGGATAACTGGAATCTGCTGGCATCGCGCTACTACGGCGAGCGCACCGTGGTCGGCGTCGATCTGTTCAACGAGCCGCACCGCGACCCGTCGCACCCCGACGTCACGTGGGAGGCGGATGGCGTGAACGAGCCGTACAACTGGCGCACCGCCGCCAAGAGGTGCGTTTTGAATCGACAAAGGGCACATCTGTTCTGAATGCTTGTGGTACACGAGAGAAAGCGAGGCCACTACAGGCGTTGAGTTGATTTACCAGTGACGTGGGAGACGGACGGCGTGAACGAGAGCCGTACAACTGGCGCACTGCCGCCAAGAGGTGCGTGGGTGGCGCACGGCCTCCCTGATGTGACGCGATTCCGCTTTCGCAGGGCCGCGGACGTGGTCCAGGCGGTGAACCCCGGCCTGCTCGTTTTCGTGCCTCGTCTGTCCCCCCCCTCCCCTCGTGTAACATGTTACCGCGCCTCTGCGTCGTTCTTTCTTCGCAGAGCCGTGACATGTGGTCCAGGCGGTGAACCCGGACCTGCGCATCGTCGTGACTCCTGGTACCCCATTTCCTCATCGAATAATGTTTCCATGCCTCTGCCTCTTCGCCCATTTTCGCAGGGCCGCGGACGTGGTGCAGAGAGTCAACCCCGACCTGCTCATCTTCGTGCAGGGCATGGACGGAGACGACTGCTGGTGGGGCTCGAACCTGCGGCCTGTCTATTTCTACCCGCTCAAGCTCAACGTCCCCTACAAGCTGGTCTACTCCATCCACGACTACGGCCCCATGGTGAAGGACGGCCAGCCATGGCTGTACGACCCCGCGTTCCCCGCGAACCTCGAGGGCTACTGGGACGAGCTGTGGGGCTACGTGGCGGACCAGGAGATCGCGCCGGTGTGGATTGGCGAGTGGGGGAGTGTGCTGCCCGTTGGGGGGACCGACGAGCTGAGCCAGAGGGAGATGAAGTGGGTCAACGCGCTCAGACACTATATCAGGTGAGGCTGAAACGGGGATGAAATCGGCGGTTGGGGAGAGCAGGGGTGACAGAAGAGTTAGGCCAGAAGAGGGTATAAAGTAGGTCGTAGCACTGAGGCATATATCAGCGCTGAGGCATCATATATCAGGTGAGTTGCTAAGGGAATAGCGTCGGGGGTGTCCGGGAGTCACACGGGCTCCCCATGGCTTTCACAACTCCCCTCCCCTCCTCTTCCACCCACGCCCCGATCCTCTATCCCCTCCCAGAAAGAAGCCTCTTTGGTGGGCGTGCATCACGTGAGAACCAACTCCCCTCCTCTTCCTTCCTCACCTGCAATCTCCCCCCTCCCCCCCCCCCTCTCATCTCCCCTTCTATTCAGGACGAAGTCTCTGTCGTGGACGTGGTTCACGTAGGGGGGCCAACTCCCCTCCTTCCACCATCTCACCCCACCTCCTCCCCCATCCCTCCCCCTCCATCCCCCCCCTACCAGGAAGACGTCGCTGTCGTGGACGTGGTTCACGTGGGGCCCCAACTCCAAGGACACAGGCGGCGTGCTGCACTCTGTATAGGCCCCTTGCCTCACAACTCACCTCTATTCCCCCCCCCTCTCCCCCCTCCCCCCTCCCCTGTTCTCCGCGCTCCGCTGCAGGAAGAAGTCTCTGTCATGGACGTGGTTCACGTGGGGCCCCAACTCCAAGGACACGGGCGGCGTGCTGACGGACGACTGGGACACGGTGGAGCAGGGCAAGATGGAGGTGCTGGGGCCCGTCATGCACCCGCTCTTCGGCCCCTCCGTTGGAGAGCGGCCCGCAGTGGCGCCGCGGCACGGGCTGCTGATCGTGTACGCCCCAGAGAACGCCCCTGGGATCACCATGCCAGTTGCCGGTGAGTCCTAGTCTAGGGATGTGCTTGTTGTAGACTGTGCCTTTCCACTTTGGTGCCTCACACGGAGACAGGCTCGCAGTGGCGGCACGGCACGACTTGTTAACCGTGTGTGCCCGGGAGAACGCCACTGGGGTTGCTGCTCCTGTTGCTGGTGAGTCTAGTGACGGTGCTTGGAGACGATACTCATTTTTGGCCCTTCCCTTGCCAGCAGAAAGGCCTGCAGTCACGCCACTGCATTCTCCGGAAAATGCCACTGGGATCGCTGCTCCTGTTGCTCGTGAGTCCGGTGATGCTTCTTAAGACCTTACTCCACTTCAGCCCCCAGCTTCCCTGCTGTTTTCTACCCGTTATGCAACGTAGTAAGTGCTCTGTTCCTGTGATGTGCCCTGTGCATGCAGAAGCCAAGCAACGGCCAGTCTCAGATTCATACTTCAAATCGAGCCCACCATCCGTCAGGGCCTCATGGCTTCCCCTTGCAACGGCAGCAAGTGCATGCTTGTTACTGCTAGCAATTATCGCTTAGTACAGCTTGTGAACAATGTAAGTCAGATACATCATGGGTCGTCTGAATTGTGTGGGGTTCTCTTAGCTTGTATCAGTACCGTAAACGCCTGGATATATGACCGTAGGGTATTTTTTCGTACACTAGCTAAAAAAGGAGGTGAGTCTTGTAGGGAAACTATCAAAGTTAACGAATGACTAGAATCATGGCATACAAGGGAATATAACCTAGTGGGTTGTACTCTCTAAGGCACAACCCTGTGTAATCTCTAACAATATACAAAGCTATGTTTGACACACCCCCTTGACAGGATAGGGGCAGTGCCTGGTGAGAGACAAGCAGCTCAGGGTGGCACTACTAGTCCAACCTCAAACCAGTCAAACGAGTACAGACAAGGCAAGAACAAAACCATGGCGGCACTACTAGTCCAGCCACTTGGAAGAGGCCACAAGGCCAGTCAGGGTAATATATATAAAGGTCTGTACACAATCAAGGTCCAAACAAATGAGAGGCTACAGGAACAAGACCAAGCTGTACGCAGTGCCGCTGATGATCTTTAGGTGCAAGCGCCTTCGTGAAGATGTTCTTAGAAACTTAGGTTAGGACACTAGCTTGACTAGGCAGCTAGGATACAAGGAAAGGACGCCATGGAATGGCGGGAGGAAAGTAGTGTCAAACATGTGTAGTTATCATGTTCGTATAGACTGTATAGGGTCACCTTCTAGAGAGTACAACATTTAGGTATATGTTTGTGTACTCTCTCTCTCACATTATTCAATTCTAGGTTTAATATGGTATCACGAGTAGGTTTCGACCCCCCCCCCCCCCCCCCCCCCCCCACCTACCGCTTCCGCTCCTCCCGTCGCGTCTCCTAGCCTCGCCTCGCCCCTCCTGAGCCCAGTCGCGACCCCTCCCCCTAGCCCCGTCGCGCCCCTTCCAGGGCCTCGTAGCGCCCCTCCAGGCCCCGTCGCGCCCCCCTTCCAGGGCTTCGTAACGCCCCTCCAGGCCCCCGTCGCGCCCCTCCAGGGCTCTGTAGCGCCCCTCCAGGGCCCCGTCGCGCCCCCTAGCGCCCCTCCTGGGCCCCGTCGCGCTCCTCACAGGCCCCGTCGCGCCCCGTAGCGCCCCTCCTGGGCTTCGTAGCGCCCCTCCTGCGCTTCGTAACGCCCCTCCCAGGCCCCGTCGCGCCCCTCCTGGGCTCCGTAGTGCCCCTACTGGGACCCGTCGCGCCCTCCCTGGGCCCTGTAGCGCCCCTCCTGGGCCCCGTCGTGCCCCTCCCAGGCCCCGTCGCGCCCCTCCTAGGCCCGTAGTGCCACTCCTGGGCTCGTAGCGCCCCTCCTGGGCCCCCCCCATTGCGCCCCTCCTGGGCCCCGCCGCGCCCCTCCTGGGCCCCCATTGCGCCCCTCCTGGGCCCGTAGCGCCCCTCCTGGGCCTGTTGCGCCCCTCCTGGGCCCTGCCGCGCTCCTCCCTGGGCCCCGTATCCACCCTCCTGGGCCCCGTCGCCCCTGCTCGGCCCCGTCGCCCCTGCTCGGCCCCGTCGCCCCAGCTCGGCCCTGTCGCGGCCTCTCGGCCCCGTGGCGCCCGCCCTGCCCCTGTCGCAGCTGCCCGGCCCCTGTCGCACCTGCCCGGCCCCGTCGCGCCCGCCCGGCCCCGTCGCCCCCGCCCGGCCCTGCTGTGTCCTGCCCGGCCCCGTCGCTGCCGCCCGGCCCTGTCGCTGCCGCCCGGCCTTGTAGCTGCCGCCCGGCCCTGTCGCTGCCGCCCGGCCTCGTAGCTGCCGCCCGGCCTTGTCGCTGCCGCCCGGCCCCGTCGCAGCCGCCCGGCCCCGTCGAAGCCGCCCGGCCCCGTCGCAGCCGCCCGGCCCCGTCGCAGCCGCCCGGCCTCGTAGCTGCCGCCCGGCCTTGTCGCTGCCGCCCGGCCCCGTCGCAGCCGCCCGGCCCCGTCGCAGCCGCCCGGCCCCGTCGCGCCTGCCCGGCCCCGTCGCGCCTGCCCGGCCTCGACGTGCCTGCCCGGCCCCGTCGCGCCTGCCCGGCCCCGTCGCGCCTGCCCCGGCCCTCCATACTTCCTGGTACTGTCCCCCGTTCCCCGCACCACTTTGCACCCTCCTGCACTTTCCTGCCCCGCCTTGCACCGCATTGCACCTCACTGAACCGCACTGACCGCACTGCACCGCACTGAACCGCACTGCACCGCACTGCATCGCACTGCACCGCACTGGACCGCACTGCACCGCCCTGCCCCGCACTGCACAGCACTACACCGCACTCCACTGTCCTCCACTGCCCCTCATGGCTGCTGAGCTTCGTTTTGATGCTGAGGGTCAGCCTCTGGAGTTCGAGGCGTGGTTGGCTGACCTTCGCCGCCACCTCACTGGTCAGCGGCAGGACGGCCACCCGCTTTCTGCACACCTAGACGGTATGCTCCCCTGCCCTGACCCCCCTGCTGTGCTGCCTGCTGATCCCACGCCCGCTGAGCGCGAGTCCACTGCCGCCGCTGCCCTTGCCCGCTCTGTCTGGCTTTCCCGCGATGCCCTTGCTCAGCTCGCCATTAGCAATGCCCTCCCCCCCCTTGAGCGCCCTCGCTTTAGAACCATTACTACCGCCCAGGCCTACCTCGATGCTGTCATCAAGCGCTATTCTACCCCTCCTGCTGCCTCAGTGGGTCGCCTGATCCTCCCCCTGCTCTTTCCTGACCTGGCGTCCTTCCCCACTGTCTCTGACCTCGCTGCCCACCTGCGCTCGATAGATGAGGCCTGGCGCGCTGCCTGCACTGATGCACAGCTTAGAGTCCACCAGCCTCCCATGACCTCTACCCTCTACCTCCTTGCCACCCGCCTCCCTGACCGCCTTGCCGCCGCCCGCGACCAGTTCCTTAGCATCCACCCTGCTGCTCTCACCCTCACCGACTTTGTTGACACCCTGACTGCCATAGAGACTCGTCACCGCTCCATAGCCCAGGCGAGCGGTACAGTACCGGTCCCTATCTTTCAGGGTTGTGCCCCCGCTCAGTGTACCTTCTCCGACGGCTCTGTCGCTGTGGCTGAGACTGCTGCTGCAGTGCAGTCCCGCTCGGGGAAGGGCCGCCGCCCCAAGGTTGGGAGCGGCGGAGGTGGCGGGGGTGCGGGTGGGGGTAGTGGTGGAGGCGGGTCGTCCGGTGCCGGTGCGGACGTGGGGACCCTGCCCGGTCCAGCTGCCCCGCTGCCTCCACCGTTGCAGCAGCCGCAGCAGCAGCAGCCTCCGCAGCAGCCGCAGCAGCCGCCGCAGACGAGGCCGGCGAGTGCTCTCCCGCCTGGGTGGCCTGGAGCTGGTGGTGGTCGTGCGCGTGGTGGTGCACCGGGTGGTGGTTCTGGAGGCGGGCCCTGTCAGTACCAGATCCAGACCGGTCCTCGCCGCGGCTTCGTTTGCGGTAAGATCGGTCATTCCACTCCTCGCTGTTTTCGTCGTCTGGACGACCTGTTCCGCCAGCGCTTTGGCCCGGCGCCCGACCTCCCGGACTGGCACAGCTTGCTTAGGCGTAGCATTCGGATTTTTGACTTGGACATGGATGCCATTGTAGCAGCCTTGCATGTGATGTATGCCGATGACTCTAGTGTGCTCCCCTCTTATTACCCCGTGTTGCCTAGTGTAGCTGTGCCTAGCGTAGACTCCCCTGCTGCGTCAGGCGTAGGATCTCCTGCTTTGCTTAGCCTCGGTGCTTCCACCGCTTCACTGTCGCCCCGCGCGACTGCTGCGCTTTCCTTCACCTTGGACTCTGGCGCCTCCCGGTGTTTCTTCCGCGACTCCACGACGCTGACGCCGCTGCCTGTTCCTGCTGCAGTTACTCTTGCTGACCCCTCCGGTGGTCCCGTCTTTGCCCGCAGTTCCACCTCCCTTCCCTGTCCGGCGGTTCCTTCAGGTTCGCTCACCGGTCTGCATATCCCCTCGTTCTCCAGGAACCTAGTTGGTGTCGGCTGCCTCCAGGACCTTGGCGTCACCACTACGTTCCCTGGTCACGAGCGGTATGCTGTCTGTACCGAGGCCGCCACTGGTGCCCCCCTTACCACTTTCCCCCGGGACCCGGTGTCCGGCCTGTTCACACTTGACACCGCGACGTCCCCGGCTGGGTCTTCCCCCCAGGTAGCTGCGTCCACCCAGGTTGCTGCTGCGTGCTCCTGTCGGTCCCTCACTCATCCGACTCTCCTTTGGCACCACCGCCTTGGTCACCCTGCACTCCCGCGTCTGCGTCACATGTCACAGCACGGTCTCGTCCTTGGTCTCCCCGGTTCGTTCCCTGAGTTTCCCTCATCCCCCGCCCCACCGTGCACGCCTTGTGTCGAGGGCCGGCTCCGCCGTGCCCCTCACTCCTCCTCTTTTCCCCCTACCACCGCACCCCTGCAGACTCTGCACATGGACGTCTGGGGCCCAGCCCCGGTCCATGGGCCGTGTCGCGAGCGCTTCTTCCTAGTGCTTGTCGACGACTTCACACGTTACACCACCGTCTTTCCCCTGGAGCGGAAGGCCGACGTGCCTGACGTTCTCATCCCCTGGCTTGTCTCTGCTCGTCTCCACCGCGGTCTCCCTGCCTTGCGCCTCCACTCCGACCGGGGTGGCGAGTTCGCCTCAGGTGTCCTTGGTCGCTTCTGTCGTGCGGAGGGCATCACCCAGACGTTTACCCTGCCGGACTCCCCGCAGCAGAATGGGGTCGCTGAGCGACGCATCGGTTTGGTCATGGAGGTGGCTCGCACCTCCATGATCCACGCTGGTGCACCCCATTTTCTGTGGCCGTTCGCCGTGCGCTACGCCGCTCACCAGCTTAACCTGTGGCCGCACCCCCAGCGGCCGCAGGTTTCGCCGACCCTTCTGTGGACCGGGTCCCCTGGTGACGCGTCTGCGTTCCACGTCTGGGGCTGCCTTGCTCACGTTCGTGCCTCTGGCACGGACAAGCTCACTGCCCGCACCCTCCCCTGCGTCTTCCTCGGTTTCCCCCTTGACGCGTCCGACTGGCACTTCTACCACCCGCCGTCTCACCGTTTCTTTCACTCTCGCGACGTCACCTTTGACGAGTCCGTCTCCTTCTTCCGCCGCTTTCCCCACCGTGGTCCCCCGGTTACTCCCCCCCTGTTCCTGGTTCCTCCCTCCCTGGTGGCCCCTGCCCCTCCCCCCCCCCGCCCCCCCGTCCGGCCCCCTCTGGTGTGTC